ACATGATTCTCTTTTTTCCTATCCTCATCCAAACCTGGAACAAACACGAATAAAATTCCAGATTCTCCAGACCGTGGTTCAAACAAAGCAGCTTAACAAAGCAGCTTATCAAAGCGAAACATTTCGTGATACTAGTTGCAAAATAAACTCCTGTCAGTATTTGACTCCCACTCTCCCTCTGACTGAAGCCCTCACCAGGTTCCTGCTGTAGAACTCCCAGAGGGTGGAGACAGCATCTGTGCTCGGCTCCCACAGCAGACACAGACTGAGGCAGCAGTGCACATGCATCCTGATCTGCTCCTCTGCAAGCCCACCCTAGCATTAAATGACAAATAGATTGAATTCATTTCAGCTAACTATTGCATTAATCTACATAAGGAAGCATTTTAAAAACGGTATAAACCTTGGGGTCACAGGTCTTCTTGAGCAACCCCTCCACAAATGTCCAGTTATCCTCCAAGTACTTCTGAAATCACAGGGGAAAAAAGAAAAAGACTTTTAACATTTAACGAAATCTTTCCCAGACCACCATATCAGGAGCGTATCATTATCCTCTGTAACACCTCCATACCACGCTGTCAACACCGAGCCCAACGGTCTCTCACCTCATTCTGCATTGTGCCGTTGCGGCTGTACTGGCCCAACATGGCCAAGTGGGTGAGGAGCCACCATGTGAATCCCAGAGGGTCTTTACAGTGTGTCAGAGGACCATCGAGGTGTTCTGGTGCTGGCTGCCCATCTACCAGAGGCTTCAGCAAGGGGTTCACGTAGCTCCAAAACGACTAGAGGAAACATGTTACAGTTAGTTCAGCGCTGACACGACTTATTGCACGACGTTAGTGTCGCTTGTTGTTACCTGTGTGCGCAGAGCTTTATTTCTGTACTGCAGGAGGAACATGAGCAGCACCCAGAGCTCTTTGGTGCAGAGGCAGAGGAAGGGACTGCTGCTCAGCGTCTCCGTAGGTCTCACCTGGAGAGGAAATGCTTCTAGTTAACGTTTACATCTGAAGTTTTATTAGGCAAAAGTTTCATTGTTTTACTTTTAATAAAGCTTCCAAAAAGTTAAAGTTTCAGATAACAGCACTCTGTTGCTCTATAACCATATACAAGTCGATCTAGGATGTTGCAATGATTGCAACTATTGGCACAAATTCACACATTTGTAATTTTTCCACAAATCTGACCAATCACTTGAATATTTTCTGTATTTCATTCTACTCTAACCAATCACTGCACTTGACTAAATTGTGACCAATCCTCTGAACCCCCTAGTAGCTCCCTTTAACTTTCTGTTTCACGATGTCACACATGAAAGCATGTGTGACACTTAACAGTAACATCTGCCTTTTTAGTGCGTTCCCAAAAGCATTTTGAGATATTCTATTGAATTTGCTTCCACTTTGTATAAAGTTCAAGTTAACTTAAATGACAATATATGGATTTTTAATTTTTTTTTTTGCATTTTGGCAATTCCTCAGGAAAAGATTTAATTTCTATTTCAAAACAGGGTACTTTAAAGTATTATTTGAACTTTAGATGTTTACTATATGTTTAAAGTCCACCTGTTCATTCTAGCACTACAATACCCATGATGCATCTTTGTTTTTTGTAGTTCGACTTTCACGTAGATGAGCAAGTTATTTTCTGTGCTTCTGTGTGGCTCGGTGGCATAAAAATCCATCAACGGATAGCATCCACCATGAATCTTTCTTTAATCCCGTGTGTATGAGACCTGTGTGCGTTTTTATTATGTAAGTACACATTTTTTCTGCCCGATATTTGGGTTTATGCCAATTAGTCCACGAGGTGAAATTAGCCTTGTGTTTTCTCTGGCTACCGATAACGCAAGCTAGACGCACACAGTCTTCTACACTATAATAAGATCCTTTAGCTTTTGGGAAAGTTACCTGGAGAAATTTCAACTTTTTTTTTTTTTTTTACTTTTTCATCAATATTAAGGAATTATTTACTTAAAACAAGCTTCTATATCTTCCTGAAAAGTTACTTGTAAGTTAGTTTTGTCTTATTTCAATTTTGCTAAGACATTTGCACTCGAAACTAGACAAGAATTAGTAAGATTTTGTGTTTTTGCAGTTTGTGTAGTAATGAAATGAAATCAGCGTCACACTCTTAACCAGTTGAACAAGCGGATCACTTCCCCACCTTGCTGTATTTGCCCGAGGCCAGAGCCGTCAGGTCGCACAGCAGGGAGGCCAGGTGCTCCTCGAACAGACTCATATCGGTCAGGTTCTCCCCCGTCAGGTTCATGAACCGGTGGGCGTAAACCACCTGGCCTGCGGACAGTCCCCACGACAACAATGACTCAACGCGACACACAAACCTGCTCATTCGTTTTGTGTTCCAGATCCTTACCTTGCATCTTGTGAGCCAGCACATGCAGGATTTCCAGGACTGACCAGTGAATGTCAAGATGAAGGTGCAACAAATGCCAGGAGGGAGGAAAAATCTGTGGGTAGGATTGGAGAATTTCAAGCTCTGGGTCAATAAAAGAGAAATAAACCGAGCTGTGGGAGGTTAAGCAAAAAAAAACAAAAAACAACAAAAAAAAAACAGTTAGTTGCAATCACTTTATATTATTTCCTTTGACTCATCCCATACAGTGATTTTTACACATCATAAATTCCACCCAGTATTTGTACCTTCCCGTGGTTTTGCATACTGAAGGCTGCCTGTACGCCTGCGGGCAGGTCTTTGAGTCGTCCTGTCAGGAGAGTGACGGCGAACAGTTCCTCCAGCAGAGCAGAGGGGAACTGCTGCTCCAGCTGCTCGTAGGGATGAGACTGAGCTGTGTCCAGACACGGATCGAAGTACCTGCAGGACGACGGGCAAAGCAAAAAAAAAAAATCCAACATAAAGCATCACAGGCAAGTTCACTGAACTATGTTGATTAAAAAAAATATATACACATATATATATTACCTGTGCAAAAAGACTTTAACATACTGAAGAAACGAAACACACTGCTGCCGAAGGTCCTCTGATTCATAATGCAGATTCCCTGCTTGTCCTAAAAAAAAGAAAAAAAAAAGAAAAAGTGTAAGCAGATATATTTAACGTAACATTATATCTATAGGAAAATGTCATACATATCTAAATCCCAGCATTGAACGATACATATTAATGATGCCTTCCAATCACATTGGAATTCCGTTGTTTTGTTTATTTATTTTGGATATTTTAAAATGTCTTCCAGTTCCAGTGTTAAATGTCCATTAGAATTTATAGATTATTGATCTTCAAGAATGTGCTCTCACATTATTATGCCATTACTATTATATTACTTGAAAATGGTCTCAAAACGACAATATTATCATTTATCACAATAACTTCTGGGACAATTTATCGTCCAGCAAAAATTTCTAATCCTGACATGCCCACTTCTTATTACTTATTCAAGTTAATCTTGGTGATCTTGTGCTTATTCTGAAATCAAAAAGACAGTTTAAGAGGGATTTTTAATTGTATTTCTAAACTGACTTACCAAAGTCATGTGAACTCGACTGAACCAAAGTCTCCAACTTGTAAAATGTTTGTCTGAAATACAACAACCAGAGTATGAAGGAACAAACGGGCTTTCCTAGTAAAGTAATTTCATCATTAAACCTCTGGTCTAATAGAAGACAGCATGCAAAAAACGAGTCGGATCGACTCGGGGTGATTTAAATTCCCTACCGAAACAGACCAAAGAGCAATTTGGTCGACTCCACCAGCGCCGTTTCAGTAACCCATGGGAAGCCGAAAATCTCTACCGTGTCTGTCTCAAATTCAGCAGGGGCCGGGTCAAGACGCAGCAGCAGCCTGCAGAAGGGAAGCAAGACCAACAGACTTTAATCACAAGTTTGCTTCGGTCAGATTAACAAAATCTCAAGCGAAAACTCAATTTTAACTGGCCACACTTCTCCGTAAGAATGTCAGTGTTTCTAGCAGGCACAACAGATATGCTTTGTGGTCAAGCTTGAGCACCGGATGTTGACTATACCGTTTCAGGGATCCCCGTCCAAGGTATCCCTCAGGGGACAGAGCTGCAGCCTGCTCATCTTTAGCTTCAAAGCAGCTGAAGCAGGGCGGTCGAGTGGCCGACAGGTCACACTGGCTGTCTGCTGCAAAGGGGGACACTGGTGGAGTGAGGGACTCGCTGAACTCTTCCGCCATGCTGTTGGTGGACCATCAGTGTCAGGTATTCACACAAACACGCAGGAAATTACAGATTACATTTAAACATGATTAAAGCTATTTTAATTATTTGCTAGACAAAGTACAGCACAACATGAAATATGTAAGATATGACAGTAATAGAATAACAACCAAAGTCAAAGCGTCTAAAATGAAATACTTATAACCAGCACCTTTAAAAGTTTGAAATAAATTCTCAAAATGCCTTTTAAAAGCGGCCATTTTTGGAACAAAACGATTTTACATGCGTATGTACGGTTTGTCTAGAGCAAAAACAAAAGTTTCAGATACCGTTTTAATGAAATGCTATCTTACCTTTGACTTCAAACTCTCCTTTTTTATATATATTTTGTGGAATTACCACTTTAAATTAAGGCAAAAATGAATAAAAATTGTCCAGTCGTCATTACTGTTGTTTTGGTTTTCGGGCTCTCCCGCGCCTTGATCATACGCATGCGTTAATTCTCCTCGCGTCTCCTGATTGGTCAGAAGTTTCAACAGGGGTGTGACTTGCCCTGTCTCGGAAACTTGACAAGAGGTTTCCCTGCGGAGTACTTCCTTTATCGCCAGTTCGTTCAACGAGAAAACGTTTAGCTATTATTAGTATTAAATATATTAAATAGCATTAAATATACTAGATAGCTTTCCGTTTGAGCCCCACTGGTCCAGGACATGACAAATCTAGGTCCTTAAATATAAAGCGACTGAATTTATTTTCCAATTTACTTGAAACAGGATTAAAACTAAGAAGTCAAATTATTTTCCATTTAATGACTAGGTAAAGATCTACGTTTTTATTTTCCTTAAAGTCTGCATTATTTAAATGAAATATAAATGTACTTCTGATGTAGTACACACACAACAAATAGCGCTCTTTCATAAAACGGTGTGTAATAAACAGCACCTACTTGTCTTTTAATCATGCTATCGCAAAACCAATGGGCTTATTTGAAATATAGGCCACAGGACTTCGAAATGTCAGAATTTCATAAATTTTCAACCCATTTGTTACGACACAAGTGCACCTGTTTAGGACACTTATGTAGGTTTATAAGTCAGTCTTCCTTGTCTGAGTGCGAGGCTTCCTCCCAGCCTAATTCAACATAATGCAGCAGTTATAGCAGAATTTTAACCACGCAGACCCTAATTTCCATATGCAGATCTGTCTCTCCCAGCCGTACCTCTCGCCATCACACCATTTCTTGCATTCTAATGCATTCTCACATCTTTACAAAATCCCCCCCTCTCTCTTCCACCGCACGCCGAGGATGTGCTCCCTTTTTCAGTCCAGTTAAAACCCTGTCATTTCTTCCCGTGTAAGCCTAATTGTCCCAGCCACGAGAGCCACAATAAAGCAGGATGTTTTGCATGGTTTTACTTTGCATCTTTTATCAATACGAGTCAGTGGAGATCGTAAAGAGAAGAAAAAAATGGACGCGACGGGAATCTTTTCTTTTCTTTTCCGTGTGGAAGCGTCGACCTCCCGCTTTGCTTTCAACAGGAGACTGAAGTCCGTCTGTGAGAAGGCTCTATCGCCTGGATGAGAAAGGTAAATGGCTTTTTTTTTTTCCCTGTTCCGACTCTTGCAAACCCGTTCTATCCTGTGATGTAAAGTGGGAGTGAGAATTGAGCCTCTTTCATCCCTCTCTCCCCCCCTCCCCTCGCCATCAGTGTACTCTCGTCTCCGAGTGTTTTTTTTTTCTCAACATTTTCTGTGTTCCCCTTATTTTTTGCCTGGAAATTCCCCCCATACCCACAAAAAACTTTAAAATAAAGAACTAACTAACAACGTTACCGATGTAAACTTAATTCTCCGTTTTTTTTAGGGGGGAGGTGATGAATTTATAGTCCATATCAACGTCGTATAGCAGCAGCAAAGTATAAGAGGATTGGTGCCTATGCTATGCTGGATGGTTTTAATAAGTTCAGGTGATAACCTAATGCTGTAATTACTTGCACCCTTTCAAAAGGATTTAATGAGCTGAGTGTTAAGAAGAGAGCACTTGTGCTGTTGGAAAATTTCCTCTCTGTAAGATCCAGTATTGCTTGTCATAACCAGTGGTGTTACTTAACCTCAGATTAGCTCACATCCATTGTATATGCGTTGCTTATACTGCTTTATGTCATGACATTTTATTGACCAATATTTGATCATCTGATCGTTGTAATTGTTAACAAGGGTTGCACAATTCTTAGCACTGTTGCCTTGAAGCAAGAAAGTCCTGGGTTTGAATTCCGGTCTGGGGTCTTTCATGGAGTTTGCATGTTCTCCTTGTGTGTGCATGGGTTCTTTCAGGGTACTCCAGTTTCCTCCCTCGGTTCAGAAACACGATTGTTAGGTTAATTGTTCTCTCTGGATTGCCCTTACATGTGAGTGTGTGTGTAGGGATGGATGTGTGTCCTGCGTGTTTCACTGTGATGGACCCGCAACCCGTCCCCAGCCTCTCACCCACTGACTACTGAAGATGGGCACCAGCTTCCTTGCTGGTAGTTAGAAAAAGTAATAATTACATTGACAATATAAATGACAATCTGTACTGTAAAGACGTTTAAGGCCAAGTTAAAGGTACTTATGGTCTATGTTATCCCAGTATAGTTGCATTTTCTGACTGCAGCCCATGTGGCACCAACAACTATATGCTACTTTCAAAGCAAATGAAATGGCCCTTTGTCCTCCATTAGTATCAGATCACTTTTACTGGCAGCTATAAAACAGAGATATCCAAATATGATGCAAAGAAGACAAAGGTGCTTGAAGAACATTACAATCTTAACTACAAACAGAAAATACCAGAAAGACAGGTGGCGCTGAAAGTCCTTTGGGAATATCTGTGTAAAATATGGACAACTACAGTAGTGCTGTGTTTTGTGTACAGTGCTAAAGTGACTCACCTCACAATTGAGAATAAAGTTCTTTTGACGCGCGTTGTGCCCTTCCTGCTCTGGCTGCACAACACCAGGTTTTTTATTTCAGGTAAGATCAGACCTCAACAAGTATTATCACTCGTCTTGAGGCATTAAGAACTTTATGGTACAGAATGTCTTTAACCTCAATGTGGATTAAACAAAAATTCTTTATGTTGGTCTTTGTTATGTCAGAAAATGTCAACATCAGCATGGCAACCTGCCCTCCTACCTCAAGGTCTGTGCCAGAAATCTTGCTGTGTCCTTTGATCACAGTTTGGTTAAAGTCATTAGTTCAGCAATCACTAACAGTATTTATTCAGCCATGCATTAGATCAAAAATTAAGCCTAATATTTATCTTGGAACTGCCACTGATAGTTTTCAACATCCTGCTCAGATAATTCAAATTGACTTTACACTAGTCTGAGTCAGTCCTTGGTTTTATCTCCAGCGAATTTGACGAGTTTGAAACTGGCGAATAGCATTCAACTGGAAATCCGAGTCTGTTTAAGCTGCACTTGAAACAGAGTTTTATTTACTGGCACTTACCTTCATTCTATGTTTCTCTTTTCTGATTATATATTTCATTTAACAAGTACAGCACTTCCGTCAACATGATTTTTTGTAACTTGCTTACATAAGTTCTAATTGGGCTTTCTGGGATGAAAAGGTACAAAACAGTGATGAAATCATTGAGGATTTTCATAACCAAAAACATGTTAATGATGCTAATGCGTTTGCGTCGACAACAACGAAAGCGGTGATAACAGCTGTCTCGAAGCTTTTCATGTGTTCCGGCTTTGAAGGTATGTAGTAAAGCTCAGAGCGTCTTTAAAAAAAACACACACACACATCGGTACACAACGGCATATTTTTTTAACCACCTTTAACTCCTTGGTTTGTCCTCGTAGATCGTCAGAAGCCGCAATGGATGAATGAGCTTCTGGTTTTATAGTACATACCTGCCGCCATCAGACCCTGGAAGTAGACTCGACTTTTACAACATGACCTTAAAACTTAAAAAAAAAAAAAAATGCCGGGCATAATAATGTGAACGTTGTGAAATTGTGTTATCGTACGACCACTTTTATGACCTTTTGGACACCCTTGACAATACAGTTTCACCATTAACTCCTCCTCTTTAAGAACTACAGTCGGAGGCAGGTAATGACTTTGCATAATGAGTTACATCTCTTTTTTTTGTGATGGCTCTGCTCTCTGAAAGATCTCTGTATTGTACAGAGGAGACTGCTAGTCTCTTTTATCTTTAAAAAAAAAAAAAACCTTGTGGCTTCAGTTTGATCAATTAAACTCCTGAAAGGACCTTCCTCCTCTCCCCCCTTTTCCTCCCCGTTCCTTTCCATTCCTCTGCCTGAGAGGAATATAAAGTTATCTGTCTTCCCAAGCGATATGAGGGCGGAAATAAGTAGTTTGTCTATAAAAATGTCCAGGTACTTTATCAGAGTCCCAGTAGGCCCCGAGGGCCTGACACTGTTCAATGTGGCTCCGCTGTACTTCTGTTCCCTCGCTCTCTCCCTGTCTACTTTGTCTCTGCCAGAGGCCAGCTACTGGCTGGGTGGGGTGTAAACTGGAGGAATCCCCCACCCCTATCCTCCCTCAACACACACACACACAGACGCATGTTGGATTGACTGGGGCTTGAGCCCCCAAGTGAGGCTATCGATTTCAATCAGCGGCTTGGGAGATAGGAGCTGAGTGATGCTGTAGACTTTAAACAGTGGTCAGCTGTGCCGTTTGTTGTTTGGTGAAGAAATGCCGCAGGAGGAGAGGCTCTTTGCCTCTGATGAGAAGTCGGATAAAGACACAAACAGAATTACTTCTTCTGAGAGATGTCTTCATCTCCTGACTCTGGAGTTTTGTTTTGTTTTTGTTTTTTCTCCACGGAAGCGTATTCTGGAGGCACGGTTGAGTGTCGTCATTGTGTATACATGGTGGAATTGTGGGACGATATAAACGGCGATCTACAGAGGATAAATAACATCGATGAGGAGTTTCTGACCTGCTTGTGGAGGGAAACGATCCACTGTATTCTCAACATCTGCAAGAAATGAAAATGTTAAAAGCATGCCATGCATTCATATTCCCTTTTACTCTTCTACTAGCCAATCAAATTCCAGTGCAACCATAAATAAAGTTCATATGTGTGTTTGTATTAATCTCAGTTAAGTGAAGGCTTTTGCTTCGTTTGAGAACATCAGATCAGTGAACGCAGCGCGAATGGAGTTATGGAGAAGTTGAAAACAGGGTTAGGCTATAAAACCGGTGGCGTTTCTCATTTAAAATCTTTTATCCAGTTAATTGCAGGGTCTGTAATTGATTAATAACAATTAATAGCATTTTTATCAAAAACCATATATCAACAAAAGAAGAAACATTTTTAATTCAAAAACAGTTTTTACTGCTAAATTATTGACTAAGTAGACAAATGAACTGAGAGGACATGGAAAACGTGTGAGAAGGGTCTCTGGTCAGAGGAAACTAAAAGGTTACTTTTAGAATTGGGTATAAATAGAAATGTCCTTTATCGTCCCAAAGTGGAAACAAATCAGGGTTAACAGAAGCATCAGGGGATGTAGGTTCACACAAAGATAAAAAGTAAAAACATCAAACAGACAAAATTAAGAATAACATAGTATACATTAAGGACAAGATTAAAATTTAAATGCACTATGCAGTTGATAGGTCATTTTCAAACATACATAAAAGAACCACAGACAACGTATAATTTTATGGCCGAACTTTTGCAAAAGGAGAAGACTCAGCAAACTGCTCCTCCAAGCCGTTCACAGAGCGTTCTGCCCTCTCTCTGCTAGAGCAGGGCTTTTATTTAGGAAAACAAGAGTGTGAAAAGATAAACAGCAAAGACAGATGGCAAGCTCTATCTACACACACAGGTCATCTAGCCCTTTCCCTTGAGAGCGATGTCTCCCAAGGGTGGAGGCAACAATCAGTTCTCAGGAACACAGATACTTGGTGCCAAAAGTATTCAACACAGACTTTTAGCACAGACAAGAAAATCACGTCAATGCTGGATTAATAAAAATGATAACACAAAAAATCCCCAACACAGTCGTCAGAAATAGTGCACTGCAAACCAAGGAATGTATGACTGAGTAGAATCCAGAATCTACATAATGTCCAACAATATATGAAAACTGAAAACAACAGAGATGTAGAAATAAGAGCAGAAATGTTATGTAAGGTGAGTAAATAAATTTGGCCTACATGCAAAACGCATTAGGTGGGACAAAATTGTAATAGTGTATTACGGAGGTGGAAGCATCATAATTAGCTTCTTGGAGTCAATTAGAATAATTAAAGAATATAAATAACTTTTATACCTTAGTGGGGAAATTCAGCTGCAGCAGGAATGTGAAACATGTAGATTTATACACAATAAAAATCTAGAAACATAAGTGATAATATCATCCTATACAGTAAGGCCAAATATACCACATAGGAAATATTGTTATTAAAATTAGCATAGTCTGATTGAGGAAAAAAAAGTGCAACTGAGTAGGAATATTTAACAAAAAATGACAAAATGTGCATGCATGTTTGTGCATAAACAACAGACTATTTACATAAAGTAAAAAAAAAAAAAAAACAGCAAACAACAGCAGGAATAGGAGGCAGTAGACTGTCACTCTAGTTCAAAAACAGCTTTGGCCTAGTCCATGTACAGATAGTGGTAAATCCCAAAAATATGAGAAAAACAATGAAAAAGTTCAAGGGGTATGAATACTTCTGCAATGCTGCTGAGTTTGCAGAGATATTTTCTTTTAACTACTGCTAATATTACGCATTATGTTGTGAAGTGATTGGAAGTTGAAGCATTTCGTGTGCTTCAACTCTACGTTTGACCGTCGGGTTGGTTAGTTTTATGTGACAAGTGTGAGGCAAACACTTTTTTTTTGTTCCATCATTGTTCAGAAGAAAACACAAGCGCAAAGACAGACTGATGAAGTTCCTGTTTTGCTTAAACAGGGAAGTTAGTTCGCTCAGTGCTGCAGTTTTTTTTTTCTTTTTCATTTTATTTTCCCTCCTCTCAGAAGTATTTGCATCAAGGCCAGGAGATTAAACGTGTGGGTTGGGAACTGGAGAGAGCGCGTTGTCTCGCTCGGGGCCCCCCGGTGCCAGAGTTCTCGCTTTCATCGCGCGGGGTGAGAGATTTCTCCTGGACGTTTTTCGGGGCTGTGTGGCTACAGGTGGGTGGCTCACATCTTGTAGGTGGCAGCCGCAGCGGATTTTATATAAAAGTACAGAGGAGGTGGCTGTGGGCAAACTGTTTCACAACTGCCAATGTTCATTAGTCTGCTGCATGGATCCCACACTGAAAACTCACTTTGTGTGCTTAGAGATGGCGCTTAAATTCTGCTGATAATTATCGAAGGTTCCTATGAAAATTCATGAAGCAGCCTTTTGTCTATGTGCGTTCAGAAACAAAGAAGGGAAAGAAATACATTTGTCTGATTACTAGTGAAAATATACATCCGATGTTCATTAATATATAGTACACTGATCACATAAATCCCTTTAATTATACCATTTTGCTATGAATTACCATTGCCTACATTAATAGTGAGAATACTGAAGTCCCCCCTCCCCTGTATTTAAAGGTTTTATGCCACCCCACGTTCAAAAAAGCTCCAAAAATAACTTGGTGATGCAATTACGTCGAGCTTTGGTGTTTTGCCGTTTAAATGGCATGCCTAAGTGCTCATTAAAATGGGATTTATTTGACTTTTTTTCTCCTGCTGAAGGCTTCATGTTCAGTGGATCTTTGCTGGTGTTCTGCATCCTGCTGCAGAGGAACCTTGCGACCACAGAGGGGCATCATGGGACCAACCGCCACGTCTTCTACGCCGTCCAGATGAGAGGAGGCGCCAAAGCCGCCCGAGCTCTGGCCGAGCAGCACGGGCTGGAGTTCATACAGCTGGTCAGTGCATGTTGAAGACCCCTCTTAGGTCCTCCACCTATGAGGCCGCAAAGTAGCAAAAATCCTGCAAGCGTGGGCTATTTTTTTTTTCCGTCTCCGTCTTCTTCTTTTTAAGAGCTGCCAAAGTGCTGACTTCTATTTCCTACTTGAGGGATATCTGACTTTCATCAAATTACAGCAGCATTTCAGAATATTTCATATCTGATCAAAGATGCTCAGAGAAGCGCCTTCACAGACTAAAACACGCCGTACACAAACGCGTGCCCTACACGTATAAGAAGACACATGGCGTCATGCGCAAATACACAAAATTTATCAGGAGGCAGCTCGTCTCTGCTGTGAGAAATTCCTATATGCGTCGCAGGATTCAGCTGGATGCCACTGGAGATGTTTGGGTCTTTAACTGTTTGCCAGAGTTGTAATCTGTCCTGCTGAAATCATTCCATATTTTAATACTCTGAAGGTTACTTTGGTTGTTGAATCTGAAACTGTGTCAGCTTCTTTTAAAAATGGTCTTCATTTGACGAAAGGAAAAAGAGCAAGAGTCAGGTTTTGGTGAGGTGTGTTAGGTTTTTGTTTTCTGTGAGAGAATAGTTAAAGAATAGGTTAACGGTTTTGAGAGATATAGATGTAATTGTGACTTCTCAGTCTTTTATCTGGATCTTCTGAAATGATTCCTCAAATGATCTGAAAAGCAAGATATGTAAGGGGCTGGAAGCTATTCTCTCATTGTTCTGTTACACTCAGGTAGTTTGAAGTGATATTTTTTTCCTTAACGTAAAACACATCCTTAACGCCACAGCTTATTGGTATAGACATGTAATTAAAAGCATCCCTCAAAGCAGTTAGGGGTTCCATTAAATCCATTTTTGGCTGTTTCACATTTAAAAAAAAAAACAAAATTTAATAGTTACATCTGGAGTATCGAGGTATGCTAAAGCTTTTAAAAGCACCGAGTATTGTAGAGACAGCAGTGAATTACTCAGTAACCTTACACAATGCACATGACTCATAGCTAGCTTAAAGAATGTTACTGTCCCTCACTTAAGAGCGACAACTTAACTATTCAGAAGTATTTCCATTTGCTTAAAACAAAGACATTCATAATCTGGAAGCCAAATGAGCACTATCTACCACTCTTATTACTTTGACGTTGTTTTAAATGCACACTTGTCAAACTTTATTAAGCTAACTGGATACCCAAGCAGATAGCTGACTAGCCAGCTTGTTACACATTAGCTACTTAGCCAAATGGAGGTTATCAGTCTCAAGGTATTGGTAGTTATTGGTTATTGGGAGAACACAGGGGTTTTAAGAAGCCATGTCTTCAAACTTTTAAGCTAACATCAAACTTTTCCAATGGTTTCAAGTCATTTTACTGAGATGCCAGTTATAGTGGCTGTAGTTTCTTTTGGCTCAGCCGCTGAGCCTCCCTGCCTCCCTCACTTGTTGAAACTACAGCTTTCCCTCATTTGTAAAAAGAGAAAATTTGGCTGTTTGATAAAATATCTGGCCAGTCACTGCACGAAGGCTTAAAGTACCTCACTTTTTTGCCAACTGCAGTTGGCAAGCTACAAACTGTTAAGCCGTTGAATGCAGGCTAGCTGTCTGGACAGAAATTCTGATTATTTACGAGCTGATCTCAGCTTGTTACACTTGTGTTGCTCTTTAAACTGGTATTCCACACAATAAGCACTTGAAAACTGTTACCATATACAGGCCAATTGAATAAATCAAAATATTATTGAAAAACCCATTTATTGAGGAACTTCGTCACTAAATAAATGAAAGACATTATATAGATTAATTCCACACAGATGGATGTTTGAAAGCCTTTATTTCTGTTAATTACGATGATTTTCCACTTAAAAGTAATATAAAACATGACATTTAAAATTTGAATTTTACATCAATCAAACCACTAAAAAAACATTTCATACAGAAATACAGGCTTAATGAAAAGTATGTTCAATGCTTAAAGGTTGGTATTTCCAAAAAGTGAATAATTTTGGTCCTACTTTTATATTTTGCGTATGAAAATGACATCTGGATGAAAGATCTTAAACATTACTGTAAGACACAGCATTAATAAAATCCAAACTTCCCCTCTAAAGTTACTTATTTAGATATCATCCATTTAAAAGCACAGTTTTCCAACCCTTCGTTCATTCTCAGACGTGACGTATTGATATGTGCGTGTGCATTCTGACAGCATCGATTGGGAGTGATTGGGAGTGTCAGCCTGGTGTGAGGCTGTGTGCTGCTCTCCCTCTGGGGACTGGGGACGGCAGCTCTTTGTAACCTTGGCCCTGCTGCTCTGTTGCTGCCGCCGCCGCCTGAATCATGAATAAAACATGCCTTTGACCTTTATCAGGAGTATTGGACAGTCCACCCCTGTGTCTTCCTCTCTGCCTGTCTCTATCGTTCTCGTTGTCCCTCGTGTATCCGCACGGGCACTCCTGCTTTATTCTAGTATTTTTGGTTCATTTTCTTACCCTTTAGTGCCTTGATTTAATTGCAGCTTGCATCATAACTAGAATAAAAATGATTTCTATCAGTTTTGCTACTTTTATTCTGATTTTGAGTGAGGAGGATTTACACCTTGTGGTGTCCAACTCAGCACCAATACACCCAATGATGAGCCTCCCCTTTTCATGATTCGCCCTCGCTCCCACCTACCTCCAGGTCCAATCTGCTGATTGGCTTCCTTTACGTGCCCATCGCCAGAGGCTGATCCTAAATGTCAGGGACACTAAATCGCCTTTGTTAAGTCAAACCTAGCTTAATTGTGTCACCTGTGATTTGCTCCTCGCGTCGCAGCAGATACCGACGTATCGAGGAGAAGCGTCAGGGCTTCACAGTGCGCTCTGATACACGATATAGTTTTGAAAACGTCAAAGCGGAGTGGAAAAAGTCTGACAAGCCCAGTGCCAGCTTGAGAGGATCGTGATGTCTGTTGGCATTCCCGCGCTAATGCCGCAGGAGCGGAATGGGAATCAAATGTCTCCGAGCTGGCACTCAACGCGTTGCTTGGTCTCTTTGATTTTTAGTGTACGGCATCCAGGAAAATGTCATCGGGCGTCGCTATTGTGCAGACTTGACGTATTCCTTTTGTAACTATAAAATGCAAAAAAAAAAATAAGAAGAAGAAGAATAACAAAAAAAGAAAGAAATACAAAAGGAGGAAGACCTGAGATGATGTCTCTATGGCTGCGCAGACAGATTTACTGTGATGCACTGCTGTTCCGGGTTTGTCTGTTCTGTTGATGACAGGATGGAGCTCTTTCTATTTGTGTGTTTTGTTTATCTTCACTTATAGTGCATGTTGTAGTTTGTCAGCAATCCTTTATATTAAACGCGGAATAATCTTACTCCCAACAGGATAGGGGAGCAGTAAATTGTAGCAATGTGATGCATCACTGTGTGTTAATGAGTCTCATCTTCAGTCGTGGCTGCTGTGGTGATGTGCTATCATCACATATCAGTTTAAAAAAAAAAGGAAAAGGAAAAAGAAAAAAAACTCTGTCTGCTCAGGTAATGGCAGCTATCACAGATCCAAAAAGAACCTGATCACAATCTAAAATGGATGATTTTCTGGTCGCCGCTGTATCAGCAACAAAACAACAGCCCTGCAACTCGATGCTACATGTCGATAAAGCTCGCAGGCTTACTTACTCACATTACAGCCGACCCAGTTTGAAGTAGCGCCGGCGCCGCCTGATACGTGCATTGTTTACACGTATTGTTTCTTGCTTAGTTAAGAGTCTGCAAATCCGATTAAAGGGAGATTAGGTGTGCAGTTGTCATTGCTTTTATTTGAGACGAAATCACCACTTTACAAGAATCACACTCTGTGTGTGTGTGCGTGCGTGCGTGCGTGCGTGCGCGCGTGCGTGTGTGTCAGACTCTGACTTCAGGAAGTCCCTGGTCTCCATCCAGTGGTGAAAGGCCTCCCCTGCCCTCCACTGAGGTGGAATACTGCTGGCAGATTAGCATGTCATTACCATACCATTAGCATAGCATTACCGTGGCACAGCTAGGCTATCAGCTCATCAAGAGATTCAGACCTCAATCCGCTCCCTGCTTCCACCCCTTTCCTGCACGGCTGAGGTGTGCATTTCGTTGAGTAAAGACGTAATTGGGGTAAAGCTAAATGAAATCACACAAACACTCCGCCATCATTCGGAGGAGGGGAGGTGGGAATGGGCTCTTTCTTTGATAGCTTGTAGCGTTGCACCTGATTCGGAATTTCTAAGGTAGCTTCAATCGGATGCTAAGCTATGTCAAGCCTTCTTCTGGCTGGATTACTTCAGGCTGTTACATTACAACCAGGTGTGTGTGTGTGTGTGTGTGTGTGTGTGTGTGTGTGTGTGTGTGTGTGTGTGTTGAGGGGGAGGGAAAAAAAGACTAACCTGCCACTATCTTCTCCCTCACCCTGGCCTCACTTATTTCCGTACAGTAGGGGCACTCAGGGGTGCCAAAAAGGGACACCAATCCTCTAATGGTCGGGAGCGAGGGCCCATTCCATTAGTCAGGGGGTCCAGAGTTCATCACTGCTCCTCGGTGTGAGGAGGGCGGAGGAAGCGAAATGGAAGCAGGTGTTGGCCGGGGGGCAAAACGGAGGGCAGCGCTGCACCAGCTGCATGCTGGGAAATGCAGCACTTTCATTTTCCCTCCTCATCTGTTTCTCTCTCTCTTTCTGTTTCTGCTTCCACTTGCAAGCGCGAAGACTCGCCTTGTGCACAGCACACGCACAAGCCTATATGTATAAACACACACACACGCACACACTCTACCTCCCAATCACCTGCTTTTGTCCCCCGTTTCATTGAATTGAGTGAGATTTTTCTCCATTCTCCTTATCTCTTCCTTTCTCTCGCTCTCTCTCAACCTCACACTCATCCACTCCCTCATTCACTCACTCCTATCTCAATCTCTTTCATTTTCCCTTTGCTTCCTCCATCCCCTTTGCTTACCGCCCCTGCCGGCGCCCGCCCCAC